CACGGAAAAAAAAAAAAAAAAAAAAAAAAAAAAAAAAAAAAAAAAGGTATTTATTCTCTTAAGGTAAATATAGATGGAACATTTGATAAGTCCCCCCAAACAACTGTGTGGCACCATTTGCAACCCATGTAAAACTAGAGGCAGCCTGTCCAGGTACATAAAATGTGCCTTGAGTAAATAAAGGTTCCTGTGTGCAGGGAAGTTTCCTGGAAACCAGCATCCCCCCAACAGTTGTGTTGCAAGGTGTGCTGATTCCCATGCCAGAATAGGCTGCTGATGGCTGTGGCCAGGTGGAGTTTACCTCCAGCCTCTCTCTTTCCTTGGCTCCTGAGTCCTAGGTGTGTTCTAGTTTCGTAGGGGAAAATGTATTCTTATTAAAGCTTAGTTTAAAAACAATTTTTTAGACAAAGTAGGAAATTCATTTTAATCTAGAGTTTGGACAGAATGGATTAAAATGATTTTATAATTCCAATAGATGATTTTGCTGTTTTCAAAAAATTTTAGGAAGACTTATTTGTTTTACTTTATGTAATTAAACTGTTAATATAGATGATGATATAAGTATCCTATTCTTCTAGGTATCCAAATATATCTTGTGAGTTGCTCACATCCGATGTCTCCCAGATGAACGATAGACTGGGAGAAGATGAATCCTTGCTAATGAAATTATATAGCTTCCTCCTAAACGATTCCCCCTTGAACCCACTACTTGCCAGTTTCTTCAGCAAGGTGCTAAGTATTCTTATCAGCAGAAAACCAGAACAGGTAAATATTGTTTTCCAAAAGGTAAGTATTAAGGCCGATTATCCCCCAGTAATGCTGTTGCTTTAGTGTTCTGAGTTTGCCTTAAATCCAGATTCTGTAAGAGAATGTATTTTAAACCTTAAACATTTTAAGCACTCACCTGACTTACACTGATGTATACATTAATGAGTATTTCTAACATGGCATATTCTTTTCTAAGTGCCTCAAATCTCAATTTGTTACCGTACTTTGGTTTCCTCTTTTGGCAAGTAGTTAGAAGCATGAGAATATTGGGCACACATTTGTGAAGCTAGTACTAGGACACATAACTAAGTGGTTGAGTATGTGAACAGAGTCTTAGTGACTCTTTGGCTGCCAAAAACATGATCACAAATGAAGCTTAAATCAAAAAGCTTTCCCACAAACATAATTGATGATTGCTTTGTACAAATGGTGATTCTGTTTTGTTTTAGTCAAAACCTTAAATGTTTAGGTTGAGCTGTCTGAGTATAGACTGTCATATATATATGTAGTTCTGCTGTTCCTACCCAGTAGTGCTTGACAAAAATTCGCACCTTACTGTTACAGCAGCTTCCTCCTCCTCCTCTTTCTTTTTCTTCTTCTTTTTTTTTTGGCTTTGTTTTTGTTCTTAATTCATGTGCACTTGGGAAATTAATTTTCCATGTATCTCTTGTATGTGTGGTGGTTCTCCCAAATATGGTTTCTGGACCAGCAGCATTAGTATCATCTGAGAATTTGTTAGAGATGCCAAGTTCTTAAGTCCTACCCCCAGACCTATTGAATCAGAAACTCAGCATGGGGCCCAACAATCTGGGTTTTTAGCAAGCCTTCCAACTGACAGTGATGCATGCTAAAATTTGAGAACCACCAATTTAGTAGATATTGGTGTTGAAAAGGATCTGCTTACCAGAGAATAGTCCATTTATGAAAATTGCACCTGAGGAATAACTAGAGCCTCAGTTGCTCAAGTACAGACTATAACAGACTTGCTAGAATTGCAGCAAGCAAGGCTGTGATGATATGGGGTGAAAGTCGTCAAATGAGTTGGGCCTGGCATCCCTCATGGTAGAAAACAGGCTCCTGTGACCTGTCCTTGCTATCAGCACACACGGAAGGACAGGAACTATTTTGGGCCCAGTATATTCTGTCCTATGCCAAGGTGAAGTGGACACATGTTTTATTTTAGAAAGACATTATCGTTCTTTTATACTCTTGAGTAGGATAACCTTCTTAAGTATATTGGGGATAAGATTTTTTTCTCTTAGGTAATAATCTGCAAGTCATGATTACTGTAATACAGATTGTCTCCCTTTTCCGCCTTCTGATTAGAAATTAAAGTACTGCTGGCTGTTTTAGGAGAATGCAAGCCATCCCATCACCCTAATGTCAGTTCTCAGAGATGGTTGTAGCTGTTGTCAAGACATCATGCTTCATTATTCTTTTTCTCCTCACTTCTGTGCTATTGGAACCCAAATTTGTGAGCCATGATTTTCAGCGTACATATGATACAGAGCAAGAATACATGTAAAACTTTCTGGAGCTCTGAGTATTGGTATCGGACCTAAAGTCAGATGTGATAAAGGGATGATGGTACGTGCCAGTGGAGCACACAGAAAGTGCCCTGTCAGCCTGTTACTCATTGCACTTCTCTGTCCAGGAAGCCTTGAGTGATAACAAGAGGATTCAGCAGCCCTTGCTCTTTTAGCTGCAAGGAGAGGTCAAACCTCTCCATTCTTTGAGAATTATGAGTGTAAATAAAGGTTTCCTGATATGATATTAGGATACATGATAATATTAGTTAGGATATATGCAACCACAAGTAATGACAAAAATTCAGACACAACTGACTTAACCAGTGAAGACCTTTATGAGCTCACAGAGCAGGAAGTTTAGCTGTACGGCATCTTCAGTTTTGCAAGATGGCGCATGTCAACAGTGTCATCTGTGGTACAGGTCCTTGTCCTTGCTGTACTGTCCAGCACTGTCTGGGGTTTGTGCTTTGGGCTTCAGATCCAGTATTTCTGCCACTGAGTCATGGAGTATTTTGATCACATGTGACTTTTTTCTCCTCTCTCTACTGTTCTTTTATAAACTACTGTGGGACTCAATTGTGATTGGATTGATTATGTGTCATTTCTTAAAGGTTTATTTCACAGTGTTTTACCTCATTGTCTAGAGAAGCAGTGTGTGAGTTGGTTAATCCTGTATTTACACCTAATTGTGTGAAGTAATTTTAGTTGTCATTACTGGCTGTTAGATTTCTTCATGTGGGCAGGATTGTGGCTTTTACAGCATACAAATCTAAGTTTAGATACCAAGAAAGCCACATTTTATCTCTAGAAGTTACTTAACCTGTCTGAGCCTTGCTTTCATCTACAACATTGAGTTATTTAATCCCCACCTTCAGGGGCTTTTGAGAAACTTCAGTGAGGTTCTGTTACATCAGCTGCCACACTGGCCGTGCTGATCCTGGGACTCGTGGTGGGTTTTCGAACAGGTGATAAGTGTACACAGAAATCAGAAGGCACACAAAGCTGTAGAGGACACGGTAGCCTCCCTCTTCTTCCACAAAGATCCAGTGACAAAGTCCTGATATCTATTACTATTTTTATATTTTCTCAGTATAGCTATTAGTCTCTTATTCCACCAGCTACCCTTCTTGTGTTCATCTCATCAGGTGAATTGCTGAAATAAAATCCAAAGGTAATGTTTACATAGCGGGTGGGTTACCTACTTTGAGGTAGAAATCTTTATGTTTTGAATTTTTTTCCCCTCTTACTTGCTAGAGTGTAATTAGGATTTTGAATATTCTGCATTTTTGTGCAAAAGATTTTGCTTTATGTCCATAACTGTAAAATGGTATATTCTCTTGCTCTTTATAGGCATATTAAAATTCTTATCCTCGTTCTTTGAGAATTAATAATGAAAGTAAATAGAAATAAGATTTTATCATGTTGTTGTATTAGGGGATGTGTGCTAATTTGGGAGATTTTTTTCTAAGGGGTTTTGAATAATGTAACTATTAGTCAGGCTTTCCCATTTGACATTTTATTGCTAATTCAGCATTTGCCATTCCTCAGCCTAAAGTTGTGGGGGGATTTGGGAGGGGGGCTGGATCAGGATTTAAAGCATTCTAAAGTTGCTAGTTACATGTCTTTCAGTTTTTGATTTGTTCTCCTCTAGATTGTGGATTTCTTAAAGAAGAAACGTGATTTTGTAGACCTTATTATAAAGCATATAGGAACTTCTGCTATCATGGATTTGTTGCTGAGGCTCCTGACATGTATTGAGCCTCCACAGCCCAGGCAAGATGTGCTGAATGTGAGTAGAACTCTGACCTGTCGTTAACTGGGGTTGGGGTTCTGGCGTGTGAGCAGACCAGGCTGCTGTGTGCTGGGTAGGATTCCGTGGGATTAGGGCTGGTAGCGGAGGGTTGTGTGGAGGACCCAGGAGGTGGGAGGGCGAAGGTTGTTCCAACACTGAGAGAGGCTCAAATTTTGCAAGACTAGTATTCCAGATTTGCATATGCCTAGGTATATGGGGTATTTCATTGTGAGTAGGTTCTTTCCCCTTGGCTGGTTTTTTTTTTGTGTGTGAGAATGGCAAGGTAGAGTGGGTTGAGGATTTGTCTTAAATCTAGGTCTTGTGCTAAGAACAGAAATGAGAAGGTTGGAAGCTCTAACTCTCATGTGAGTAAGCTATGAGGCTTCTTTCCTGAGAGCATGGCCATACTCTGCAGGGCTATCTCTGAAAGTCGAAACAGAGATTTTGGTATTTCCAGGGATTCAAGCTTCACAAATTCTCGTGGGTACCTTCTTATGGGATAAGAAGGAGAATGGAGTTTACTTCAAAAAGGACTTTAAAAAAATTTAGACAGATGGTGATTTTAGGGTGTGTGCCTCTTGAATAGATTTCTTAGGTGGAGTTTGGGTGAGAAGAGGGGAGGGTGTGAGTAACCTGTGCTTCTCTTCTTGTCTTCTTTCTCTTCCTCTCTCTCTTTCTCTTCTCTGCCTTCCAGAACCATTCCCCAATCCATTCCATCTTTAATACTCATCCCGGAACCTTAGAACTTACTCATTTAATGAAAGACCTAAAGAACCAGAAGTAGAGACAGGAGGGCCGGTGAGAGGAAGTCTGTCGAGTGGTGCCCAGGTCAGGGCATGTTTTGCTAAAGTGGACAGATGGGACAGGTGGGACAGGTTGTGCATTTGTGTGATGGGGTCAGGGCTGGATCTGTCTAGGTGTGACCCAGGCACCATGGTCATTGTGAGTAAACCAGCTGAGTGCACCTAGTGGATGTTCTGGGACTCGCCTGTGAGCAAGGGCCTTAAATTGGGATGCCTGGTTCCTTTTAAGTGTTGTGCATGTGAGTTTTTTCTCAAAAGAGGTCGAGGATTTTGGGGAAGATGGTGGAGGACAAGGGGAAGGAGGAAGGACAACTTTATATTTGGATTATTGTAGGGGGAAATTTATACAGAATCGTTTGCTGGAATGGATTTATTCCTTTGATCACATCTGGGTTGAATTTTAGGGTCCGTTTCCAAAGGAGTAGAGGCACTTTTGAAGAGAGTTAGTGATAGGTTCATAGTGATAGAAAGTTACTAATAGGTTATTGATGTAAAGGTGTAGGTTGGGGGAAGGTTAATTAGAAACTCCTAAATGTCTTATTTTGATTTGGTGGATCCATAGTGGGGGGATTAGTTCAAAAGTGGGCTTGGAATATAGGTGCTTATAGAGACAGTAGCATTCTGGGGCTGGCTGATTAGTTCATTGCCCAGAAAGTTTCCTGGTTTCTCCTGTGGTGGTCAGGAATGCCTCCTCCCCACATACAGGTGTCTATTGTCCTCTGTTTTAGGACATTGCTATTGTAAGTGTGGTCCCAGACATCACTGTGGGCTTGTTAGACATCTATAATCTCAGGTCTCACCCCTGGCCTACTGAATCAAATCTGCATTTTAACAAGATTCCCAGGTGATTTGTGTGCACATTTTAGAATAGATCTTGAAGTATAAAGTTGGGCCTTTACCTCTGTGGTGCCCACCTGATAGCTTTTGTCTGCATTTTCCTTTCATTGTTATGTTCCCCACAATGAGCCAGCATCAGGGTTTTCCTTTGAATCTTTAGCAAATTGTGTTTAATTTCTTGCCCCCTTCCCTGCCCCCCATGTCTCTATCTCCTTTAACCTTTGGGATTTTTTTTTTGGTTGGGAGGGTGTCCTTTCTAGGTAGTGAGCTGCCTTGTTGATTATGGTGTTTCAGTTCCTTGTGGAACTAACATTAAACCAGCTAATTTTTCCTTATTTTGATCCCATTCATATTTTTATTCACTGCAACATTTCATAAATAGATTAAAAAGAGATTGCTGTAGTCGTGATAATAGCTCTTTGCCAATATATGACAAGGCAGATAAACTGCTTCAGTGGTGGCTCCCCCTCAGCCCCCACATTTCCTTCAGTGAGTTTAGTTTTGGAATCTAAAAGTCCCTTTTTGTTCATTCTGTTTTTTGTTAACCCAGAAGCTTGATACTAAATATTGCTTTTAATCTTTCTGAAGCTCAGAGTAAATGTTCTCTTACAGAGAATGTATAGATTCCATCCTTCTTAGTTTCCCCTGCCCCTGCTCCCCATGTCTTAAGAATCAAAGTACAGGCCCCTTTAGTGCTGAGTGTCTGGGAGTTACCCCATGGCTAAAGAGCTGATGTATAGAATTTTAATATGTGGGTATTGCAATTTGGGGAGTTGTTGGTACTTTTGGCCTCTGTTAAAATAATATATTCACTGGCGTTTTCCTTGGGGGACTTTTAATTTTCTGTAGTGTTCAAAGTCCAGAGAAACCTGTAACATTCTACTTAAAATGTGATGGATATTTCCAAGTATGTTAATCTTCATTGGGGCTTGAACAGGAGCCACTCATTGCTATGATTACTCTACAATGTGTTTTACAGTGGTTAAATGAGGAGAAAATTATCCAGAGGCTTGTGGAAATAGTTCATCCATCGCAAGAAGAAGATGTAAGTTCGTTTGTGTGACTGTAAACTTGATAAAAAAACTGAACTGTGTTTGGGCACAGAGTATACCTGTACTAGATGTGATGATGATCAGAAAAGACAGGTAGAACAGCGATAATCTGTAGTTCTTGAAGTTGACAATTTTCTAAACAGTATTATATTTTGCTGATACCCAGAAAATTTACAGAAATGTAAAACAGCAGGCCCTTGTTCTAGCACTGTCTCTTTTCCAGAGTTGGGATTTCTTGCTGAGCCTGCCTGCTTTTGTTACAAACCTCCTCCGTCCACACTTTTTCTTTTATACTCATCTTTAGCCCAAATGATGTGGCCACATCTGCATTTGTTTTATCCAGTCTGGCTAAAGCCTTGCAGGCAGCACAGCAGGATCTTGCTCACCATTGAGCCCCTGCAGTTACTTGGTCATTGTACTTCCTGGCCCTGGCTTTTAAACTCTGACAGGTTTGGCCTTTGTCCTAGGTGCTGCAGGTTGACTTGGCAATAGGATTGAAGCTTGATTTGGAGTGTATAGATTGAGCTCTGTGCTGTGGGGACACCTTTCAGGACCAGTAGGTGTGTCTCTCTACAGAGATCTATAAGGCAGCCACCTTAATGATCAGGCCAAGCCATAGGAAATTGCCAGTAGTCAGCCTACAGATATGACATTCCATGTGGTTCAACCTAATATCTACAAAGGAGTTGGTTTAAGGGTGATGCTGGGTGTGTCATGGGGCCTGGAGGACCTCCTTTGTATGCCTGTAGGTTGCAGGTTAGATTGGACAGTGAGGACATGGGTGAGCAGTGTAAAGGAAGAAGCATATAGCCAGAGGATATTCTCGATCACAAAGGTGACTTTCTGTGGAGGTGGATCTAGCCCCTTCTACTCTGGTCCATTCAAATATTTTGGTACGTGGAGTTTATCTAAAGCAGGCTTTAAAAAAAGAAAAAGCCATAACTTCCCCATCATCCCCCACTCAGGACAGTGTAGTATGTGCTTTCTTGCAGTAGAGTCGTTACTGTTGCTAGAGTTAATATTCTGGACACATTCCAGTGTATACATGGATTGGGTGCTAAGGGAGTACTTGAGTGTGAGAACCCTTGCTCAGCAGAGGTCTCGGTCTGGTTGGGGTGATAAGCCCTTTTACTATGGACGGAGGAGCTTGAACATACTAGGAGCACGGTTGCCTTGTGATGGAGGTGTGGTCAGTGCAGGCTGTGGAGAACCATGACAGGAGCATATTCTGCCCCATTTATAGCGAGTAATTTCCAAGAACGAGGCTGGCTCCTCACTAAGTTCATGTTATTGAGCAGAAAAACGTGATTGTTCAACATGATATTGTACCTGTCTGCAGGGTCCAGGAGAAATGAGTAATTTCCAAGAACGAGGCTGGCTCCTCACTAAGTTCATGTTCTTGAGCAGAAAAACGTGATTGTTCAACATGATATTGTACCTGTCTGCAGGGTCCAGGAGAAATTGATAAAGGAGAAGCCCAAATCTGCAGCAAAGTTTTTGAGAAGGAAAAAGCATTATGGACATCAGCACCTTTCCTAGAAAGTTAACTTTGCCTTTTGGACTGCCCTATTGATACTTCTGTTTTGAATTAAGTAATAAATTACTTGTTAAAATTAGAAATTACTGACCAATCTGTATTTGTTAAGGGAACATTAGGCTCCTGATTTCAGTCAGTGGGTTTGGATGTCTTGGTGTATATTGCCATCTCTGCTGGCATATGGTTGTTCTACCTGTGTTGGGAACACATTGCTTAGTCTTTGAGTTAGATGCTGAGTTTCACACTTTGCAGAATATGATACTTGGGCGCTGAGATTTTAGAGCTTTCCTGTAAGGTAAATACACTGTGTACCAAGAGAAGTTTTAATAAGTTTTAATATTTCTTACCCAATGGTATCTTCCAGAAAATGGTATTTGCTTTTTTTTAAAAAAAAAAGCCAAAGAAGTCTGTTTGCATCTTTTTATGCTGATAAAAATATATTTGGGGGATATATTTTTTCAGGTATTCAGTTATAGAAATTTTTCCTTGTCAAAAGTTTGATCATGTCTCACACATAATAATATGAGAGTACCTCAAAAAATTCATGGAAAGATCCATTTTAATTTTATTTTTTTGAAGTACTCTCATGTTTTCTTTCTAAATCTTGTGTTTTCTGTTTAAAATATTTTGCAAACCTACTAACATGGATACCATGATGCTGATTATTTATAATAATGTAAAAATATTTAGCATCAGATCCAGACAAAGGTTTACCCAGGAAAAGAGAGAGAAAAAAGAACTATACTTGCTGTAGGTATGGTAGATTACATATGCATGTGAGATCTTCTGCTAGTTTTTTCACATACATTTAAAGAAATTAGAACCTTAATAATAACAAAAAGAAGTTCAGTACAATTTCATCAATCAAACATAGGTTATTAATCTAAGAAATTTGCTGACACAAGGAAACATAAAGGTCTCGTTATTAAAGACTGCCAATATTTTGTAGCTTCTCCAACACGTAATAAAACTATAAGTGCTGAGTACATCAGCAGCAGTCCTAATAAAATTGGTAGGTCTTCTCAGTCTGACAGGGTAAAAAATAAAACACAGATGAGCTACCCATAAATGAATAGCCTAATATGTCAATCCTTTTTTAATCTTCCTGTATATTGAGGCTCTTCTATATCTTTTGGCTTAACTACCTGTAAGATCCTTTTATTATAATAAAACATTTGTGTGCATTACTTCCTTGGCAAGTGTGAGACAGGCAAGGACAACTTAGAGACAAAGTAGTTTGTTTTAAACTCTATCTTTTGAGTAGTTATATTCTCCCAATATGTGTTGTAGAAAAGGAAGGAGTAGACAAGTTCTCTGAGGTAGCAAAACTACAAGAGATTAACAGCTTCTGAGTAAAATGGCATTTTACCTGCCCCATTTTAGTAATCCTCGGTGTTATGGCATATGTAGGAGTACTCCATTTAAACATACAAGACATTCCACATTCAAATACTAATTATGATATTAATTAAGTTGAACTTTGTAAAATTGCCATTTGAGTAGGTTTAAAATGTTGAATATCAGCAATTTCATATGGTTCATTACAGTGCTGTTCAATAGAAATATAGTAAAAGCCACATGTAATTTAAAATATTTTGTACAAAGTCTTAGAAATCCAGTATGTATTTTAAACTTAAAACATGTGAAATCAAATGAATTAAATTTTGAGTGTTCAATGGCCATACCCAGTGAATGGCTCCCATGTTGAAAAGTGCAGGTCCAGCCTGAACATCACACTGTTTGGTAATCTTTGAGTTCTTCAGTATCTGTGCAGCCCTCCACTTACACAACTTTATTTGAACCAGATGTGTAACCTAGCCATCAGAGCCTCTGTATGTGCTAGCTTTTATATTTCACGATGCGTCCTTAGTCCTGGATTAAGCAACTGTAGTTTCAGGAATGAAGAGAGGTATGTGTTGCAAATTTATGTCATTAAATATTAGTTGGAGTAAATTTTTTCAAATACATAGACCTGATAAGTCTGTGGCCCTGGATGTCAATGAATAAAACCTTCACTGCATTTAGCGGGGGGAGACTTAATCTATAATAGGGCTTCCCATAATCTTTTTGAGAATGAGAACTAACCCTTTCTGATATTTGACAAGCTCCCACATTGTGGCGGTTCTTGTGGTGTCTACTGATTGAGAAAATGCATAGTGACAAAAGGCTTCTATGAGTTTAGTAAACTTTTATTAATCATAATAGCATCTGTATATATTTGATAAATATATCATGTAATATGTAATACCTGTATATTTGATAAATTGTAATTTATCAAAGTTAATTATATACTATTAAGCCAATCTACTGGCAATATATAATATACAAATAAATTACATAACTATGTTATAATTTCAAATAATCCACAAGTTGGTCACCATCATATATAAACATCAGATGTATAAATATAAGTATCAGTTAGCTCTTAGGGAAATATTTGAAATGAGCTAAGGTTAAAGAAGGTGGTAAAGAGTGGTAGTGATACCAAGAAATCTCCAAGAAAGTGGACTGAAGTGTTAGATAATGAATATTTAGCTTGGGAAGCAATCTGGGCCTACATTGAATATGTTCCATTTAGTGACTCTGGAAATTTTTGAAGTTCAAAAATTCCTGAAAGGGCCGGCCCGGTGGCGCACTGGATAGTGCGCCGCTTGGGAAGCGCGGTGGCGCTCCTGCTCGAGGGTTCGGATCCCACATACAGACCGGTTCCCGCTCACTGGCTGAGCGAGGCATGGGGGCGACGCTGAGGGTTGCAATCCCGTTGCCGGTCCCCGGCCCGGTGCGGGGGCAACACTGAGGGTTGCGATCCGTTGCCGGAACCGAAAAAAAAAAAAAAAAAAAAAAAAAAAA